GGGATACCGAAAATTTCAAGTGAACTACCGAAAATTTAGAAAACAATGAGTTTTTCCACGAAAATTATAGTATTTATGGTATTTTGTATTGAAAATTTTGAAATTTCTAGTATTTTCTACCTGAAACTTCATAATTTCCGGTATTTTCTACCAGAAATTTCAAAATTCTCGATATAGAACCCATTTTTGTTACCAAAAATTTTAAAATTTCCGGTAGTTATACAAATATAGTTTTGTATCGAAAATTTTGAAATTTCCGATAGTTATAAAAATATAGTTTTATACCGAATATTTTGAAATTTTCGGTAGTTATAAAAATCTAGTTTTATACCGGAAATTTTGAAATTTCTGATAGTTATAAAAAACTAGTTTTATACTGGAAATTTTGAAATTTCCGGTAGTTCCCATTATTATTATTTTTTTAATATTTATTTTTTCCTTCTTTTGTAGTAAAATCTAGAGGCAGAGACGACATTATTACAGGGAGAACTGTTGATCGAGCAACAGACCAGGGTAGGGCTTATAAGGGTGCTGATGACGAGTCTTCCCGGCTATGGTCAGGACGAGTGGTCCTAACCGGTTCACACCGGAAGCGGTTGACTGAGCGGGATCATTTCTGAGACCTCGTTCCACTCGACGCTAAACAGTTATATCAATATAGCAGGCTACAAATGTGGTTTTGCCAGATGTTTCTGTATCTGACCCCATTGGTGAGGCGGTGGTTGAGCTGGTAGTTGATCTAGTTTTTGCTCAGAAGGTTATTGAGGATGTTGGTTCGGATGAGGTTTCTCGGGTGGTACAACCACCTGATGGAGGATTCTCAGGAGGACTTATCAACCGATTGGTGTTTACAGAGTATGTTGAGCATGTGACATTACGATTATGGCACAATGAGGTATATGTCGTTTATGTTTAACATTATTTTTTTGTTTATATATGTCTATCACATGAGATATCAACTAATTTGTTTATATTTTGTTGTCACAGGAGCGACCCACACTGAAGGTGACACCGCATAGGTCAAAGATGAAGGACTTCCCAAAGATTTTGATGCCTGAGCAAGTCATTCGGATTATACGGGACTTCCAGCTGCTTGATTTTGCCCACTGCTCCCTCACCATGTTGGACACTCCATTACTTAGTGTCTTTGTTGAGAGGTGACACAAGGAGACATCATCATTTAATCTTTCATTCGGGGAGATGATTGTCACTTTGGATGATGTCTCCGCATTGTTCCATCTCCCTATCGACGACAGATTCTGGGTGGCTCCCGTTCTTAGCATGACCCTTGAATGTCAGGTTGTGGCACATGATTTTAGTTTGTTTGAGGCGGAGGCGCTGAAGGTGTTTGGTGAAACTAGGGGTGTGCACTTTCATATGCATTGGCTTCAAAAGATATACGATGAACCTGTAGCTATTGGGAGGTATAAGGTTGTCGCTAGGGCGTACATGCTATATATAGTAGCATGCACTCTCTTTGCGGATAAGTTTAGTACTTATATTGATGTCTGATACTTGTGCCTATTCAGTAGCCTCGATGATACCAGTTGGGCTTAGGGGTGTGCTGCATTGACCCAGTTGTATACTACTCTTGAAGTGGCGACAGTCTTTAAGACCAAACAACTTGCTTGTTATTTGAGTCTGTTATAGGTATACTTGAACTTATTATATGTTATTGCTTTCTTATTTATTTATTTTTACAAATAACATTTCTAAATTATTATTTGTTGTTTTTGTGTTTTGATTTCAGTGTTGGATGTAAAATCATTTCCCTACCATTTGTGGCTGAAGGATGCAACATTGCAAGGTGGGGAGCCCATAGGCAAAGAAGTAAAAGGAGAAACAATCACATCATGGTGGTATTGCTGAGTATAGGAGGAGACTCGATGCCTTGATTGTAGATGATGTCATATCGATACCATACAGTGGTCATAGAGTCCACCATAAGGTTGAGGAGTTATAATTATATTTAGGTTATATGCAGTGGGAGACCATGGTTGCTAGACACTTGTCTGAGAGGTGACTGCAATAGTATGGCTATGTTCAAAGTATCCCACGACCAGTTCTAGATATTCTAGCTTCAGGGATTGACTAGTGGTTTCAGAGTAACTTAATTAACTCTTGTCGTACCATCAGAGATCGAGCAATCACTATTCAACAATCATCGCAATGTGAGGATGGTTATCTAGAGTGGTACCTCACTGTATCACACCCTCACATCACCCCACCTACAGCTGATGTTAGATCCTCTGATGATCAGGTACCTGTTGATGACGTGTCACCGCTTCCTCCTCCAGCAGATCACGTAGATGACCAGCTACGCCTCCAAAAAATTGCAGTGATTATGGATAACCTCATGGATTTGATAAACCCAGATGGTGAGGTTTATATTGGATTAGTTTGGGCTGCATACATAGCCCGTGGGGACCTATTTATATATCTTTTGTATTATTTGTATATTATTCATACATCTTTATCATAACACTTTATTAGCTAATGTTATTGATCTTTCTTAAATTGCAATGTAAACGTTAACTAACATTTGACAATGAATTACATAACTTAAACAAAAAAACTTAACACTCCAATATGATTAATAAATAAGAAAAACGTAAACACTACCGTACGCTTCAGGACGTTTCAGTATCTCTATTATGTCATCAACGGATCTTGAAAACTTAGCATCTAACTTGATGGGCCCCTTTGATCCTACGACGAAATGATCTCCACATTTCCTTTACATATTCGTTAGTCTTCAACTCAATAAGGTTGTATTTCACTTTCTCGTTAGTATCAATCCAATCTTCACAAAACTCGATCTTTCTCACCTTTCTGTTTTCGCCACCAGACAACAATTCATTCAACTTTAACGTCATACCGACAAGAGATGTGGTGTCATCGGGAAGGCAAAACTCTACTAGAGGAGAAGCTTCGTTGAAGTACACTTCTGCCTTAATTAAAAATTGAAAAGACATTTTTTGAGACGTGTTTATCAACAACGTGTAACCCTTTTATACAACTTTATATTTATTCTATATCACACAAACTGTCGGTAAAATTTTGATCATCTAAATAATAAACAAATAAAACTATCAAAAATTTCACTTAGGTTGAAATTCCCGGTATAACCATAAAAATTCAAAATTTTCCTGAACAATTTGCACATTACCGAAAATTTAGAAATTCCAAATACACCAGAAATTTTACTCTATAAAATTATTATTATAACTCTAAAAAATTTCATTTAAAAATTTGGTGTATTTTTTTATGTAGAGATGATTTTAAAATTATAAAAAATTGGGAGGGATGCCGGGTTTAATTTGGAGAGTGGCAGGTTAAATTTCCCTGTAAAAGAAGTGAATAGCCCAATACACTTCTTTTTTATGAGGCCCACCAAATTCATTACAACTACTATATTACTATCCAATGCCGCCTTGGCCTTGTTCCTGAATCAGAAACAAGTTGGATCGGAATCGCACTGAATTCAACCAACTTCCCGTGAAAACAAAAAATTCCCCGGAAAGGATTTTACATCGCCGTCTCAAACAGCGAGAAACGCATCACGGTAATCCCTTCTTCTTCGTTCTTTTTATTTAAATTTTTTCTGCCGCGATTCACGGTCTTACAAAAGAAAAATCACCAGATAATTGCGCAACCATATTTCGATTATATTAGATTTATATTTGCTCGTAATTGCATATTTCAGTATTGGCATTCACGTTATTTCCTAAAAGAATTGAAATATAAAAGTTTATAGCTGAAATTGATATTCATTGCTGTGAGATTTTCCACTTCCAGATTTTGCAGAAATTGCTATCAAGGTTAATCATATTGACTATTGAGTATTGTTTTACCTTTAATTTTAGTTTCATTGTTTCTTTATTTCTAATAATTTGCTTGCTTGATTCGATTCATCCAATAGCATAAACAACATAAACACTTATAGGACTGATTGAGAGAATTTATGAAAATAGTTCATTGCATGTTCATAAGTTGTTTTATGTTTTTTTTTTCTAAGTTCTCCAAGATAGTTTATGGTAACAACTTATAGCTATACAAAAATAATTGAACCTTATTTTATCTTTTGTGAAAGAATTGATAGGGTTAATTATGACTTGGTTAGTTTGTTAGAATAAATATCCTATTTTATAGGGTTGTTAGCATATATTAGTTTCTATTTTCTAGCTAAGTTTTAGAATAGTCGGTTTATGTAATAAGCTATATATTAGCTTTTCTATTATTCAATAAATCAAGTCAGTTATCAGAGTTTCCTAACAAGAATTAGCTTATCATGATAAGCCCTTATTTACCCTATAAGGGTAGGGTCAAATGTCAATATATATATATAAGTAACTTGCTTGAGATAAGGGGATTTGGGGTTAAGATGAACTCAAAAATCAAGTTGCAAACTACATTTTGCCTAGCTTGAAATTATAATCAAGATGAAGAAAATAATAACCTATCCAGATGCAAGTAAGCCATCAATTTTAATAAGTGAAATTGATAATAGTTGTCCTTAATGTTTTGTCAAATGGTAGAGATTATTTGTTTTCATTTACTTAAGGAACAAAGTAGAAGATGGGTCGTGGATGTGAATTCATGGACGAAATTGGTGGTTTACTCGTACATTGCATGTATAAATGAAATGCAACAAAAGCTTAAGATTTGACTGGAAAGGTTATTTCTCTCTCAAGAAAAATTACATGAAGAGAATCATAATCTAACCAGTAAGGTGTATGTAGGTGCAGATGACATAATATTCCTAAATATATAGCTTTTTCAATCAACATAGAAACATAAAGTTCCCATAAATTAAATTTGTAGCTACAATTGGATTACAAGTCATTTTGCTTTGGGACATAGATAAGTATGCTTCAAATGATTTTCAAGTAATGATTTTCATTGATTTCATGGCACTTTATTTATCAAATGAAACCTTGAGTGCTGTTTATGGCTTAATGCTGAATTTCCCCCTGTTTGGACATGCAGGTTCTCAACTAATGGCTAAAACAAATAAGAAGCGCACAGGAAAGTCTCCTGGTAAAAGAAGCGATACTTCACATTGTCTTGTCGATCCTCCAGCCTGTGATATTCAGAATGAGGATGACGATTGGGTTATAGTTAAAAAGCAGAAAGTCATCATTCTGGTACCTGCTACACCTCGTAGTGAAAAATCCTCAACAGAAAATGAAGAGCCGAATCACATGCACCCTATGCCTCCTGTAACGTCAAATAACCATGAGGAACTTTCCGTGGAGACACATAATGAAAATCCTTCTTGTGATGAACAAGAGAAGACCATTTCATTGGCTGGCCAAACAGAGATTCGTACTGAGACCAAAGCTCCTTCTCCCTTATTACTTAAATCACCTTCAACCAATTCACCACGGGTAGATCAAAAAGTAGAATCAGAAAATCCACATGAAGTCAGTAGTTTGAAGTCCCACAGGTTAGTTGGACTATCTAATACATCAAAAGCTATTAAGCAGGCCAGAACGTTACTTGCACCAAGAAGGTCCTCCAACTTGGGCACTTTGAATCGAGGTCTGAGAGCATCAAATCTCGAGAGAAAGCTCGAAAGAGCTGGTGGGTTGAACAAGTGGCTGACATCACTTGGATTGGATCAGTTTGTGAGAATGTTCCAAGGGAAGATTATCAGTAAGTATCAGCTTGTGAATCTAACCATGAACAAACTAAAGGATATGGGTGCCAATGCGGTGGGACCTCGCAGGAAGCTGATCCACGCCATGGACTGTGTTTGTCAACCATATTGCTTTGAGGCGTTATAGAAAAGTCTGTATGATGTTGAAATTATATTCATGACATTCTTCGACATGGTTCATTACAAATGAAAAACTTGGTTTTTGGATGCTCTAGTGATCATAGTACTTGAGCCTCAAGTAGTGTTTGAAGAGATTTATGCTCTTGTATATATACTCAGGGAAGAGATTCACTGAGATACTGTATTTGATAGATGAAATTAAGAAATTTGTGTATTATCCAGTTCATTAGTCTAGTTGGCTCACTTTAACATTGTTGACTTTAACTTTTACACACTAATGGATCATCGATCACCACTATTGAACTTGCTTTTCCACATGTTCATCATGGAGAAGTGAAAAAGTCTTTTTCTTTCCCTAACATTGCTGCACACATCCTTTTTTTATAAAACAAATGTGACCACCATAACTTATAGTTTTGACTCCTATTACCAGTAAAAATGGGATAATTTAAGTTTTTTTTAATCAGTTATTACAATTCATTAAAATAATCAGTAATATTAATACGGTTGAGGATAGAAATTAACGTATTGTGTCCATGGATTATTTCTTTTGTTAATAAAAGACCTGTCCCGCGTTTCTACGACTTGTTTAACGTGGTCGTGGTGATGGTGATGGTGATGTTTTAAATTCTTATAACTGATGTAAGATTATATAATGATGTTTTAAATTCTTATAACTGATGTAAGATTATATAATAAAACACAATATATATTTGTTTTAAATGAGTGGGATACCATGTGTTACGTTACGCATATTTTTTTAAAATTATAATAAAAAATTAAATTGTTCAATCAAAAAATATTATTATTTTTAAAAGAGATAATAAAAAGAGTGTATAATTCTTTTTATATATACAAATATTTGTAAAAAAGTTATTCCCATTTATAATATTAGTATTTTTTCCATTAATTTTTTTAACATATTTGAAAAAATATCAATAAATTTATATTATTTAATATTTAAAACAATTGAAAAAATTGTTTATAACAATAATATTGTTCTCGTAATTTAATCAGCAATGTATTATTTCCCGTGAAAAAATATTGTTTTTGTTTTGACATTACTTAAATATATTTCCCGTGTAACAATTTATTTTTATCCGTAAGTAAATATTATTTTATTCAATAATCGACATTTTTACTTATATTTTATAAATTATTTTAATTGAAAATTTATGATTTTTCATTTATAAAGTAAATTATTTCTGTTTATAAAAATAATTATATCAACAATAAATTTGTTCGTTTATAAAAATATTTATAACTTATTTTCGTTTATAAAATTAATTGTATCAACAATAGATTTTTTCTGTTTATAAAAATAATTGTATCAACAATAGATTTTTTTCCTGTTTATAAAAAGATTTGTAATTTATTTCCGTTTTTAAAAATAACTGTGAAAAAAATAGAAAGTTAAAAAAAATTAAAAATTATAGTAAATTTTAATTGAAATAGTTAATTCATGTAAAAGAATAAATATAAACAACAATGTTATGAATAATAAGACTATTATTTTATTCATACAAATAGTAAAATTGTTTCTAGTATTAAATTATTTGTATGTATGGTACGCATAAATAAAGATGATTGAGTAAAGTCATTAGAAATGTTGGCTAAGTCTATTCTCTAATAAAAGAAATTGTTTAAAACTGTGTCTTCATGGAAAATGAAAAAAATTTGCTCAAACTGCAACCAAAAAAAAATTCACTGATTTCAATACTCAAGTATCTACTATCAACCTATCAAAATTCTATTGCATGCTCTTCTTATTTTACCCTTTCACTCAAATTTAATTACATTGTATTTTGGACAAATTAGTAATGAACAAATGTTACAATTAAAACCTTCTCAAACTTTTCTTTGGATGACACGTGTTACACAACCATTAAGTCTCATCCCCTTTTTTCAAACCCTCCCTCTCCTCATTTCAGATCTGTTTTTCCTCTTTCTCTCTCACCAAATCTCCCAGATCCACTTTTGTCATGAATATACACTGTCTCGCCTACCAACGGTGACAATGAAAATGGAAATTGCATAAAACAAACCCTAAAGTAAAAACATTATTATTCATGTACTTCTGTGTGATTGCCGATTGCGAGGATGAAAGTTGAGAGTTCTATGTGATTGTCGATTGCGAGGATGGAAGTTGAGAAAGTTGTTGGTTCCGAGCACCATTGTTTTGACCTGTCCGTAGTTGTTCAGAACAATGTTGTTGCAAGCATGGTTGTGCGACTTAGAAGTTGTTCTAAGTTCTGTTGTTGCGAGTGTGGCTCCAGATGTCATCTCTTATGTTAAACTTTGTTTAGATCCTAGTAAGTTTCATTTAGTTTGAGTCCCGGTTAAGTTTTTGCACGGCGAGTTCTGAATATGAAGTTTATTTGCCGTTAAATTCAATTTCATATAAGTTTCGTTTCAAATAAGTTCAGGGTATGATGTTAGCATAGTTAGCATCCTGCAAATGTTACGATACTACGAAACATTGTTAGCATCCTGCAAATATTACAATACGATGAAACAAACAACCTAGGTATGTTTTAATGCTGAATCCATTTTTGCATAATCGTGTGGAGAAAAAAATTTATTGCACTGCATTTCGATATCCATATTCATTAAATTTGGAAATGACTCTGCATATATCATTAAGTATCATAGTAATTGTTATGGAAACTATATCCATTTTTACAACAGTTTGATTCATTATATCAAAGTTTATTCGATTAAGTATGACTTATGGCTTGATATAGTTTGAATTAGTACATAATAGTTTGAAAAACTGATATCTACAACAGTTTGAATGAGATGGTTAAATCAGTATCATATAACAATTTAGAACAGTTTGCGTGACAATGTTAACTCAGATGCATATATAAAATTTACAGCAGTTTAAATCAGTTGTATAACAGATCAGATTCAGTTGCGAATAGCAGTAGGCATATTCAGTTTGAAGGAATTTTGCGACGATATATTTGTAAGTATTTGTTCCCAAAAATTGATGTTCTTCTGTATTTTAGAAATGGAAAGGTTCTTAAGTATAAAGAATTATGTTATTTTTTCTTTTTGTTTCATTATGTATGTTCAAATAGTTTTTAAATAAATTCAGGCTAGCAGAACAAAAAGCTTGTAAGGCCATTATTAGCCTATGGTTCATGTACTGGTTGTTGATTGAATTTTTTTTACACTTTTTTCTTAGATGAATATCTTATTTGTCTTGGATGCAAGATTCCAGACACAACACTTTCAAAGGAAAACCGTTTCTTCTTTCTTCAGTGCGAGAAGGTGAATTTTCTATTACATCTCTACCTGCTTTTGATGTTTTACCATTCAACATTCTATAGTATTAGTATATTGCTTGCAGTGTGGATCGGGAAGATCAGTTTCTCCAATCAAAGCTGGTTTTGTTGCTCGTGTTAGTCGTAGAATTGTAGGGTCATGGAAGTTGCCACTGCTTCTTCTTCTTCATTTGAAGCTGGGTCAAGTTCTTTTGTAGGAGAGTGGCAAGGAAAATCTATTTCTTTCATGCAATCCAATGAGCATCATAGCAATGAAGCCCAAAGGACTTGGGACACATCAGGTCTTCAAGCCTTGCCTCTCAAGTTTGTTAAAGGGGGTCAAAGTGCAAGGAATTCGTGGATAAAGGCACTCTTATGTTAACTGTAATGTTGGAAAATATATGTTACTTTTCCACATTATGTCATTAAGAATCATCATTTTCTTTCTTCTATGCATTTTCTTTTGTTTTTAAGTTTTAATATCTAAAATTGTTTGTACTAAAGGATCGGTTAAAAGGAAGATAAAAAACCAAACTTAAAGACTTTGTATTCTTTTTGCAGAAACACCTCATTGACAAATGGATCATCTCCATCCTTTACTTTTGGAGCCATGGCAGCATCAGACTCATAGATGACATATGTATAATTGTGAAGCTAGAGCCATGGTGAGAAGGCAATGTTTATAATTATGTTCCATATTGCGTTCGTATTGTTTCTTTTGGGCCGCTCTGCATTATTTTTGTATATTTTTTTCTTTCTTTCAAGGTACATTTGGCAATATGGTTAATCAGTTTTTATTTTAAATCAATGAAAATGAGTTAAATGCATTGGCGGTTTGTTATATGGTTTCAAACTGAGGTTGGAGTAGCATTAGCGAAACTAGGATAACATTGTTGTTTTTGTAGGAGATTCATCAAAAGCTGCTATGCTATAGCGCCGCTATTAAGCAACACTAATGGTAACAAAAAATTTCCCGCTATTGTGGCTATATCAGCTAGCATAAATTAGAATATCAGATGTTATTTCCCTATAGAAAAACTAGAATAACGGTATGGTTTACGTAGAAGATTCATCAAAATCCGCTATGCTATTTGACAACATTATTAAAGGTAACTTAAAACTTAAAATATTTAAAAACCTAAAATTATCTTTATTTTTTCCCCACTTTTGCTGCTATATCAGATAGCTGAAACAGTTCACTTCGTGAGGGAATATGAAGCATACAATTCACATTTGCAGAAGAATATTTTCCGTTCATAATTTTCTTTAAACATGAACAAGACTGCCATGTCAAGATTAATATTAGGTATGATCAACATTGTGAAAGAAAAAGATTTACAAATTATTTAATGTTCTTTTAAATTGCTTTGCTATAGTGATTGTGAAATTTACTCAGCACGGGGGAGAATGTTCTTTTGAATTGCTTTGTTGTTAATAATAAGAACGCCAAGCTGTTATTTCATTTCAATATGTGTGTGATGAGCTAAAGTCTTTCTAAGATGATTTTTGGCAAATGTGTTGGGCACCTACAATCTAATTTATTTTTTAAATGTATTAGATGCTGGAGAAAATAACTGATGGTAGCAAAGGATGCTAGACGCGTGGACATACTCTGTTATCGTGTCTCCTTAATAGGGGGATTGTGAACAGGCTTTCTTCAGGACCCGAGGTTCAGAAACTCTGTGGTGTTGCTCTTGAATCACTTGATTCAATGCTTTCTAGAAGGATCTTGCCTCCATTACCCAATCCAACTATTCAAGGTGATCAATAATTTTTTAAAAAGACCTTGCATGTTTCACTGATTTTAAAATTAGATGATGATCCATGTGACTAGAATTGTAATATGGAACCAACTACTCTACTTCTGTCATTTATGGTAATTGATACAACAGTATGGAATAATTGTAATAAGGAGAAATTAATTTTGAATGAATATGTTTTATATTTAAGATTGTTTATGCATAAGTAATTTTGAGTAATTCAATGAATAGGTTTTATATTTGAGAATGTTTATGGATAAGTAATTTTGAGTAATTCAATGTAACTTCTGGTATTTTGTGGACATACAAAAATAAAAACTCTTAACCACGTGTGACAGTGTTAACAAACTTATTTGTGTTTACACTCTCACATAAAGTAACTGACCAGTCTCTGTTTACATTTTCAGATGCAAGTTTACTAGCTCCAAATATGGTGAAGTTTGAAGATGTCACTGCAACATCCCTCACTGTTCTTTTGTGTTTGGAAGATTCTATGGGAGAACATAATGCTGGTTACACCGTGTGGAATCGCAAAGCTGATGATTTGAACTATCCATTGGACCCAACTTGCACGACTCTCCTACCAAATAGAAAGCTTGGCATCAGGGATCTACTTCCAGCTACAGAATGCAGTTTGAAATTTGTTTCCAATAATTTGAGCAAGTCACTTATGTGCAAAGTTCAAGTCTCGACAGACCATTATGAGGATGAAGTCTCAAATTGCTCAGCAACGAAAAGAAGTCAGAACCCAGTAACCAACTGTAGCAGCCTTTCCAATCCATCATCTGTGGAAGATGAAACTAATCATAGCGACCGGACTGATAATTGATCAGATAATTATCCTTCTTATCACAAGGATAGTGACCAGCTTGCTTCTGGAAATATATCAAATGATGTTATTAATTGTTCCAATCTGGGTGGAGTGGAACTTCCCATTGAGAAAGGCTTGATTTTACTTTTCTGTTAACTTCAGAGGCACTTACATGCATTGAATTTTTGTCAGCTACAGCTAGATTTAATTTTAACCCAGGACTGGTTCGTCTATAATGTATTGTTAAAAATGATGAATTTCTTAGCACCTTTGACAGATTCCGTTAATGGATATTTTTATTCAAAAAATGAAGCGTGGTTTTCAAATTTCAAGTAGTTGACATTCTCATATTGTAGTTGCCCACAAAATGTTGATGCAATATTGTTTGACATTTAGGAGAGTAACTTTCTATGAAATTCATCATCAGCATGAGGCGTTACTTAAGTTTTAAAATGTGATAAAGTTAAAATTACACATGTCACTCCCATATTACATCATATCTCTTGATCCACATGATGGTAGAAAGAAAAAATCTGGATGGTTTGGAACTCCCGTGTTGTTTCTCTTCTCTTGATTAAACTATACTACTTCACACTTTGCACCACTGATTTTCTAGCTTTTAGCGGGGGAGGCCATTTTGCACTTTATTTGGACGGTGATCTGTAAGAACTTTGCAATTGGATATGCTATCCTTTTTTTCACCCTTTGTGACCCTGATTTTTCCTGTTACAATTTTTTGACATATCAACTCAAGATTGAACGGGTCAAGTTCAGTTTATGATTGTCATGTTCCTCAGGATCATTTTGCTTCCTGCTAATCCATTTATGCATGACAAATGCAAAGGTTTTGCAGAACATTAAACAATGTTTTATCTACATATGCATTGAATGTTTATGTCAATTTAAATTCTCACGAATCACTATCAATATAATATTTATTTTATTTTAATCAACAATTATTTTTATTTAAAAGGATAAAATCTCTTATTTTTAAATGTTATAATTTTCCTTTTTTTCTTTCATCTTAATTAGTAAAATTAAGTTTATAAGATTGATATTTAGATCATCTATTAATACATTTATTTTAAATTACATATGCTTAAATATATTATATATAATATCAAATAATTTTACCCGTGCGGACGCACGGGTATCTTACTAGTATTATAAGATAATAGATAATAAATAATAATAATAATAGATAGTAATAAAAATAATAATTATATTATCTAATGATAATAATAATAATAATAATAATAATACATATCTCATCTTATATAATAATAATAATAATAATAATAATAATAATAATAATAATAATAATAATAATAATAATAATAATAATAATAATAATAATAATAATAATAATAATAATAATAATAATAATAATAATCTACTATCAACCTATCAAAATTCTATTGCATGCTCTTCTTATTTTACCCTTTCACTCAAATTTAATTACATTGTATTTTGGACAAATTAGTAATGAACAAATGTTAAAATTAAAACCTTCTCAAACTTTTCTTTGGATGACACGTGTTACACAACCATTAAGTCTCATTCCCTTTTTTCAAACCCTCCCTCCCCTCTTTTCAGATCTGTTTTTCCTCTTTCTCTCTCACCAAATCTCCCAAATCCACTTTTGCCATGAATATACACTGTCTCGCCTACCAACGGTGACAATGAAAATGGAAATTGCATAAAACAAACCCTAAAGTAAAAACATTATTGTTCATGTACTTCTGTGTGATTGCCGATTGCGAGGATGAAAGTTGAGAGTTTTATGTGATTGTCGATTGCGAGGATGCAAGTTGAGAAAGTTGTTGGTTCCGAGCACCATTGTTTTGACCTGTCCGTAGTTGTTCAGAACAATGTTGTTGCAAGCATGGTTGTGCGACTTAAAAGTTGTTCTAAGTTCTGTTGTTGCGAGCGTGGCTCCAGATGTCATCTCTTATGTTAAACTTTGTTTAGATCCTGGTAAGTTTCATTTAGTTTGAGTTCCGGTTAAGTTTTTGCACGACGAGTTCTGAATATGAAGTTTATTTTCCGTTAAATTCAATTTCATATAAGTTTCGTTTCAAATAAATTCAGGGTAGGATGTTAGCATAGTTAGCATCCTACAAATGTTACGATACTAAGAAACATTGTTAGCATCCTGCAAATATTACAATACGACGAAACAAACAACCTAGGTATGTTTTTATGCTTAATCCATTTTTGCATAATCGTGTGGAGAAAAAAATTTATTGCACTGCATTTCCATATCCATATTCATTAAATTTGGAAATGACTCTGCATATATCATTAAGTATCATAGTAATTGTTATGGAAACTATATCCATTTTTACAACAGTTTGATTAATTATATGAAGTTTATTCGATTAAGTATGACTTATGGCTTGATATAGTTTGAATTAGTACATAATAGTTTGAAAAACTGATATCTACAACAGTTTGAATGAGATGGTTAAATCAGTATCATATAACAATTTAGAACAGTTTGCGTGACAATGTTAATTCAGATGCATATATAAAATTTACAGCAGTTTGAATCAGCTATATAACAAATCAGATTTAGTTGCGAATATTCAGTTTGGAGGAATTTTGTGACGATATATTTGTAATTCTTTGTTCCCAAAAATTGATGTTCTTCTGTATTTTAGAAATGGAAAGGTTCTTAAGTATAAAGAATTATGTTATTTTTTTCTTTTTGTTTCATTATGTATGTTCAAATAGTTTTTAGATAAATTCATGCTAGTAGAATAAAAAGTTTGTAAGGCCATTATTAGCATATAGTTCATGTACTGGTTGTTGATTGAATTTTTTTACACTTTTTCCTCAGATGAATATCTTATTTGTCTTGGATGCAAGAGTCCAGACACAACACTTTCAAAGGAAAACTGTCTCTTCTTTCTTCAGTGTGAACATGCTTTCTTCAGGACCCAAGGTTCAGAAACTCTGTGGTGTTGCTCTTGAATCACTTGATTCAATGCTTTCTAGAAGGATCTTGCCTCCATTACCCAATCCAACTATTCAAGGTGATCAATCATTTTTTTAAAAGACCTTGCATGTTTCACTGATTTTAAAATTAGATGATGATCCATGTGACTAGAATTGTAATATGGAACCAACTACTCTACTTCTGTCATTTATGGTAATTGATACAACAATATGGAACAATTGTAATAAGGAGAAATTAATTTTGAACGAATATGTTTTATATTTAAGATTGTTTACGCATAAGTAATTTTGAGTAATTCAATGAATAGGTTTTATATTTGAGAATGTTTATGGATAAGTAATTTTGAGTAATTCAATGTAACTTTTGGTATTTGGTGGACATACAAAAATAAAAACTCTTAACCACGTGTGACAGTGTTAACAAACTTATTTGTGTTTACACTCTCACATAAAGTAACTGACCAGTCTCTGTTTACATTTTCAGATGCAAGTTTACTAGCTCCAAATATGGTGAAGTTTGAAGATATCACTGCAACATCCCTCACTGTTCTTTTGTGTTTGGAAGATTATATGGGAGAACATAATGCTGGTTACACCGTGTGGAATCATAAAGCTGATGATTTGAACTATCCATTGGACCCAACTTGCACGACTCTCCTACCAAATAGAAAGCTTGGCATCAGAGATCTACTTCCAGCTACAGAATGCAGTTTGAAATTTGTTTCCAATGATTTGAGCAAGTCACTTATGTGCGAAGTTCAAGTCTCGACAGAGCATTATGAGGATGAAGTCCCGAATTGCTCAGCAACGGAAAGAAGTCAGAGCCCAGTAACCAACTGTAGCAGCTTTTCCAATCCATAATCTATGGAAGATGAAACTAATCATAGCGACCAGACTGATAATTGATCAAATAATTATCCTTCTTATCACAAGGATAGTGACCAACTTGCTTATGGAAATATATCAAATGATGTTATTAATTGTTCCAATCTGGGTGGAGTGGAACTTCCCATTGAGAAAGGCTTGATTTTACTTTTCTGTTAACTTCAGAGGCACTTACATGCATTGATTTTTTGTCAGCTACAACTAGATTTAATTTTAACCCAGGACTGGTTCGTCTATAATGTATTGTTAAAAATGATGAATTTCTTAGCACCTTTGACAGATTTCGTCAATGGATATTTTTATTCAAAAAATGAAGCATGGTTTTCAAATTTCAAGTAGTTGACATTCTCATATTGTAGTTGCCCACAAAATGTTGATGCAATATTGTTTGACATTTAGCAGAGTAACTTTCTATAAAATTCATCATCAGCATGAGGCGTTACTTAAGTTTTAAAATGTGATAAAGTTAAAATTACACATGTCACTCCCATATTACATCATATCTCTTGATCCACATGATGGTAGAAAGAAAAAATCTGGGATGGTTTGGAACTCCCGTGTTGTTTCTCTTCTCTTGATTAAACTATACTACTTCACACTTTGCACCACTGACTTTCTAGCTTTTGGCGGGGGGAAGCCATTTTGCACTTTATTTGGACGGTGATCTGTAAGAACTTTGCAATTGGATATGCTATCCTTTTTTTCACCCTTTGTGACCCTGATTTTTCCTGTTACAATTTTTTGACATATCAACTCAAGATTGAACGGGTCAAGTTCAGTTTATGATTGTCATGTTCCTCAGGATCATTTTGTTTCCTGCTAATCCATTTATGCATGACAAATGCAAAGGTTTTGCAGAACATTAAACAATGTTTTATCTACATATGCATTGAATGTTTATGTCAATTTAAATTCTCACGAATCACTATCAATATAATATTTATTTTATTTTAATCAACAATTATTTTTATTTAAAAGGATAAAATCTCTTATTTTTAAATGTTATAATTTTTCTTTTTTTCTTTCGTCTTAATTAGTAAAATTAAGTTTATAAGATTGATATTTAGATCATCTATTAATACATTTTTTTTAAAATTACATATGCTGAAATATATTATATATAATATCAAATAATTTTACCCGTGCGGACGCACGGGTATCTTACTAGTATTATAAGATAATAGATAATAAATAATAATAATAATAGATAGTAATAAAAATAATAAGTATATTATCTAATGATAATAATAATAATAATAATAATAATAATAATAATAATAATAATAATAATAATAATAATACATATCTCATCTTATATAATAATAATAATAATAATAATAATAATAATAATAATAATAATAATAATAATAATAATAATAATAATAATCTACTATCAACCTATCAAAATTCTATTGCATGCTCTTCTTATTTTACCCTTTCACTCAAATTTAATTACATTGTATTTTGGACAAATTAGTAATGAACAAATGTTAAAATTAAAAGCTTCTCAAACTTTTCTTTGGATGACACGTGTTACACAACCATTAAGTCTCATTCCCTTTTTTCAAACCCTCCCTCCCCTCTTTTCAGATCTGTTTTTCCTCTTTCTCTCTCACCAAATCTCCCAAATCCACTTTTGCCATGAATATACACTGTCTCGCCTACCAACGATGACAATGAAAATGGAAATTGCATAAAACAAACCCTAAAGTAAAAACATTATTGTTCATGTACTTCTGTGTGATTGCCGATTGCGAGGATGAAAGTTGAGAGTTTTATGTGATTGTCGATTGTGAGGATGCAAGTTGAGAAAGTTGTTGGTTCCGAGCACCATTGTTTTGACCTGTCCGTAGTTGTTCAGAACAATGTTGTTGCAAGCATGGTTGTGCGACTTAAAAGTTGTTCTAAGTTCTGTTGTTGCGAGCGTGGCTCCAGATGTCATCTCTTATGTTAAACTTTGTTTAGATCCTGGTAAGTTTCATTTAGTTTGAGTTCCGGTTAAGTTTTTGCACGACGAGTTCTGAATATGAAGTTTATTTGCCGTTAAATTCAATTTCATATAAGTTTCGTTTCAAATAAGTTCAGGGTATGATGTTAGCATAGTTAGCATCCTACAAATGTTACGATACTAAGAAACATTGTTAGCATCCTGCAAATATTACAATACGACGAAACAAACAACCTAGGTATGTTTTTATGCAGAATCCATTTTTGCATAATCGTGTGGGAAAAAAAAATTTATTGCACTGCATTTCCATATCCATATTCATTAAATTTGGAAATGACTCTGCATATATCATTAAGTATCATAGTAATTTTTTATGGAAACTATATCCATTTTTACAACAGTTTGATTAATTATATAAAGTTTATTCGATTAAGTATGACTTATGGCTTGATATAGTTTGAATTAGTACATAATAGTTTGAAAAATTGATATCTACAACAGTTTGAATGAGATGGTTAAATCAGTATCATATAACAATTTAGAACAGTTTGCGTGACAATGTTAATTCAGATGCATATATAAAATTTACAGCAGTTTGAATCAGCTGTATAACAGATCAGATTTAGTTGCGAATAGCAGTAGGCATATTCAGTTTGAAGGAATTTTGCGACGATATATTTGTAATTATTTGTTCCCAAAAATTGATGTTCTTCTGTATTTTAGAAATGGAAAGGTTCTTAAGTAAAAAGAATTATGTTATTTTTTTCTTTTTGTTTCATTATGTATGTTCAAATAGTTTTTAAATAAATTCATGCTAGTAGAACAAAAAGTTTGTAAGGCCATTATTAGCCTATGGTTCATGTACTGGTTGTTGATTGAATTTTTTTTACACTTTTTTCTTAGATGAATATCTTATTTGTCTTGGATGCAAGAGTCCAGACACAACACTTTCAAAGGAAAACCATCTCTTCTTTCTTTAGTGCGAGAAGATGAATTTTCTATTATATCTCTAGCTGCTTTTGATGTTTTACCATTCAACATTCTATAGTATTAGTATATTGCTTGCAGTGTGGATCGGGAAGATCAGTTTCTCCAATCAAAGCTGGTTTTGTTGCTCGTGTTAGCCGTAGAATTGTAGGATCATGGAAGTTGCCACTACTTCTTCTTCTTCATTTGAAGTTGGGTCAAGTTCTTTTGTAGGAGAGTGGCAAGGCAAATCTATTTCTTTCATGCAATCCAATGAGCATCATAGCAATGAAGCCCAAAGGACTTGGGACACATCAGGTCTTCAAGCCTTGCCTCTCAAGTTTGTTAAAGGGGGTCAAAGTGCAAGGAATTCGTGGATAAAGGCACTCTTATGTTAACTGTAATGTTGGGAAATATATGTTACTTTTCCACATTATGTCATTAAGAATCATCATTTTCTTTCTTCTATGCATTTTCTTTTATTTTTAAGTTTTAATATCTAAAATTGTTTGTACTAAAGGATCGGTTAAAAGGAAGATAAAAAACCAAACTTAAAGACTTTATATTCTTTTTGCAGAAACACCTCATTGACAAATGGATCATCTTCATCCTTTACTTTTGGAGTCATGGCAACATCAGAATCAAAGATGACATATGTATAATTGTGAAGCTAAAGCCATGGTGAGAAGACAATGTTTATAATTATGTTCCATATTGCGTTCGTATTGTTTCTTTTGGGCCGCTCTGCATTATTTTTGTATATATTTTTCTTTCTTTCAAGGTACATTTGGCAATATGGTTAATCATTTTTTATTTTAAATCAATGAAAATGAGTTAAATGCGTTGGCGGTTTATTATATGGTTTCAAACTGAGGTTGGAGTAGCATTAGCGAAACTAGGATAACATTGCGGTTTTTGTAGGAGCTTCATCAAAAGCTGTTATGCTATAACGCCGCTATTAAGCAACACTAATGGTAACAAAAAATTTCCCGCTATTGTGGCTATATCAGTTAGCATAAATTAGAATATTGGATGCTATTTCCCTATAGAAAAACTAGAATAACGGTGTGGTTTACGTAGAAGATTCATCAAAATCTGCTATGCTATTTGACAACATTATTAATGGTAGCTTAAAATTTAAAATATTTAAAAACCTAAAATTCTCTTTATTTTTTCCCCACTTTTGTTGCTATATCAGATAGCTGAAACAGTTCACTTCGTGAGGGAATGTGAAGCATACATTTCACAATTATAGAAGAACATTTTCTGTTCATAATTTTCTTTAAACATGAACAAGACTGCCATGTCAAGATTAATATTAGGTATGATCAGTATTGTGAAAGAAAAAGATTTACAAATTATTTAATGTTCTTTTAAATTGCTTTTCTATAGTGATTGAGAAATTTACTACTATTGTTATAAACGGCCACAATATTAATCTTGATTTAAATTTTTTTCTATACGAAAAAATACTACTGTTATAAACAGACACACCTTTACTTTTCAATAGTTTTTTAATCATATTATTATTGATATTTTTGTTTATCTTTCATCTTCTACATATATTATCACTTCAACTTAATTTGACTATTATTCCTAAGTTTTAATCATATTATTATTCTTAAATTTACTATTATTATTTAGTTTCATTTATATTTGGTCTACCTATGGATTAATATTTTTTTGTTTAATATTTTCAATTATTATTACATTATTTGAATTTATATCAATAATTAATTTAGTTTCTTCTTTTACAACACACAACATTTTCTTATACTTACCAATTCAATTTTTTAATTTCAATCATATCTATTTTAATAATTTTACCATTGTTCTTTTCAATTTGATTAATAATTATGCGTCCATAATATAAAATTCTCGAACAGACAGACCCGTGCGAACGTACGGATTAGTTACGAGTAGGGTACGGTAATTTTTTGAGATAATTTGATTATAAACTAATTAAAATAAAATCAAAATATAAATATGTTAAATTAATTAATGGTTAAAATTATTATTTTTAAATCATAAAGTTGAGATTTTATTTTAATGGATTAGTGGAATAAATTAGTTAGTTAAATCAAGTAATAAGTAATTTAATAAATTAATTATTTTTAATTTAGCTAAAAGATTCAATTAATTTAATATTTTTTAAAGAAAAAAACAGGGGTATTTTGATATTTTCAAAAATGATACAACTTCTCTTTCTTCTATTTTTCTTATGTTCTTTTATTTATTTTATCAAACAACACATCAATTTTACTCTCTTTCTCTCTTATCATACTCTTTCTCTCTTCTCAATTTCATCTCGTAGCCAAACACACCCTAAGTGAATTTGATAACTTGAGTTTTATTAAAGTGCCACGTGTATATCATCTAAGGAATGGCCTAGTGATAGTAATTTGCTCTCCAAAGCTGAGGATCCAAACTCCTTCTTCTACCCTACCCTGAACTCTCCTCCAGCGCCACATCAAATCGCTCATTCACAGCACCCTCTTCACAAACTGATGACATTTTCTCTCATCTTCACCACTTTTCGAATTTCCAATACTGCCCTTGTCACCCACTACCACACTCTCAAACCTAACAAACCCGAAGTATGGTTCGTCAACATCGTTTCAACGCTCTTTCTTCGCTCCACAAACTCATTCGACGCTACATTTTCGCGTTACGTTACTAACCACATAACCCCTTCACTTACATTACAAGTTATCAAAAGGCTAAACAATCCTCAATTAGGTTTCAGCTTTTTCCAGTTTACCAAACAAAGATTGAACCTTTCTTATTCATTTTGGACTTACAATTTTCTTCTAAGGTCCCTTTGTCAACAGCATCAACATGATTCAGCAAAACTTGTTTATCATTCCATGAGGTCTGATGGGTTGTTGCCTGATAGTAGGTTGTTGGGATTTTTGGTTTCTTCTTTTGCATTTGCTGATAGGTTTGATGTTTCCAAGGAGTTTCTTTGTGACGCATTGTGTAATAAGGTTGATGTAAATGTTGTTGTTTATAATAACTTTCTTAACATTTTGGTTAAATGTAATAGGTTAGATGATGCTGTTTGTTTTTTTAGGGAGCTTGTTAGATTCAATTTCGATATAGATATTTTCACATTCAATATTTTGATTAGAGGTTTTTGCGCTGTTGGAGAAATCGACGAGGCTTTTAGGTTTTTGAATGATATGATAAGTTTTGGTTGTTATCCCGATGTTGTTAGTTATAATACTCTTATACATGGTTTATGTAGAATAAATGAGGTGGATAGAGCTGTTAGAATCAAATGCTGGAAAACTTACTTAATTGAATAAGAAAAAGGCCAATAAATAGGCTTACATAATATCACACGATCTCCCTAACTGCCCCATTATATGTGGAGCAGTTTATTCCTTCCTAAAATCTAGGTACTGACATTGACTGAAACAATAAAATAGCTAACAATAAGCTGACACATTCTAATGTGCTGCAATACTTAATTTAATTAAAAATAAATATCAAAATATTAATCTTAACATCTCCTCCTAAACTGATCAATCCAATTCAGTTTAACTTTGGTGCATCACATACTCCTAGCTTCTTTCTAAGTCCCTGGAAGGTTCTTGTGTCGAGTGGCTTAGTAAATATATCTGCAACCTGCTGATGCGTGCTACAAAATTTTAACTGAACAGCTCCTTCATTCACCAGCTCACGTAGGAAGTGGAACCTTACATCGATGTGTTTGCTTTTGCCGTGCATCACCGGATTTTTTGATAGCTTGATTGTTGAGTTGTTATCACAGAAAATAACAGGGTTGCTGCTTCCTTCATAGCCAATTTTGCCCAACACTCTTTTCATCCATATTAACTGACAAGAGCAAGCTGCTGCTGCCACAAATTCTGCTTCGGTTGTACTTAGAGTAACAATTGGTTGTTTCTTGGAGGACCATGCCACTGCTGCATCACTGAGAATGAAGGTATACCCGGATGTACTTTTTCTGTCCTCCACACATCCAGCGTAATCACTGTCGGTGAATCCTACTAGCTCTCTGTTTCCTTCTTTCCTGTAAAAGAGCCCATATTCAATAGTCCCTTGCAAATACCTTAAAATTCTTTTGGCTGCTGCAAAGTGAAGTTCAGTTGGCATAGACATGTATCTGCTAATCAGACTAACAGCATACATTACATCTGGCCGAGTGGCTGTCACATACATCATACTTCCCACAAGCTGCTTATAGAGTGTGATATTTACCTTCACACCTTCTTCATCTTTGTGAATCTTAAACCCCGGGACGATAGGATTTAAGACAGAGTTGCTTTCCTCCATTCTGAATTTTGTTAGTAACTCTTTCACATACTTTCTTTGACACATGAAAATTCCATTATCAAGCTGCAACACCTCAATTCCCAGGAAGTATTTCATTCTTCCCAAATCAGTCATTTCAAATTCTTTCATCATGGATTCTTTAAACTCATTCATCATAGTTTGATCATTACCAGTGTAGATCAAATCATCAACATACAAGCTAATAATTAGGCATTTACCTTGTTTGTTGAATTTCGTGAAGAGTGTTTGCTCGCTGACATCCTTTACAAATCCCATCTTCTGAAAGTAAGTATCTATCCTGCTGAACCATGCACGTGGTGCCTGCTTCAATCCATATAGGGCCTTACGAAGCTTGTACACTTTTCTTTCAGCACCCTTGATTTCATACCCTCTTGGCTGGTCTACATACACTTCTTCGGAGAGTTCTCCTTGCAAGAAAGCTGACTTTACATCTAGCTGATAGATTATCCAACTTTTCTGAGCTGCCAATGCTAAAATCATCCTCACGGTATCCATCCGAGCGACTGGTGCATATACTTCCTCATAATCAACTCCGTGTTCTTGTGCATATCCTTTTGCAACTAACCGAGCTTTGTACTTTTCAACTTCTCCATATTGATTCAATTTAGTCTTATAAACCCATTTTACTCCTATACTTTTGGCTCCCTCCGGTAGATTAGTGAGAAACCATGTTTCATTCTTCTCAATGGATTGAATTTCTGAATTCATAGCATTTCTCCATTCTTGGATCTTAGCAGCTTCTTCATAGCTAATAGGATCACATTCTATGAATAAGGCTAAATGTGAGGTGTGATCTTGACTTGCTTCAGCAGTTTCAGCTTCATCATTGACGTTATAGTCTGTCATCCACACTGGTCTCCTTCTGATACGACCTGTCCTTCTGACACAATCTCCTTCCCTTGTATTTGTGGCTTCAGGAGATGACGCAGCCGCTGCCATAGTGTTTTCTCTATCACTTCCCTCTTCATCTATGCTTGCTTTATCTTCTTCAGTGACAGTTTCTATAATAACATCAGAATCTTCATTGGTAACATCTTGAGTCTCAATTTCTCCTTCATTTATGTCATCTCCCCAGTCTAGATCAAGGCTTATCAAGCTGTCATAACTCTTATCCCAGCTCCACTTTTTCTCTTCTTCAAACACAACATCCCGACTAACAATGACTTTCTTGCTTATGGGATCGAATAGTCTGTAGCCTTTTGATTCTGAACTAACCCCAAACAGTACACAACTTCTGCTCTTATTCTCTAGTTTAGTGCGTTTGGCGTCAGGCACATGTACATGTCCTATACAACCAAACACCCTAAAATGTTCTACAGATGGCTTTATCCCACTCCAAGCTTCTATTGGTGTCATGTCCTTCACAGAAGAAGTTGGACTTCTGTTAAGCACGTAGAACGCCCAACTCGCAGCTTCAGGCCAAAAACTCTTAGGAATATCAACCATCATACTTCTTACCATGTTCATCACTGTTCTGTTCTTCCTCTCGGCTACTCCGTTTTGTTGCGGCGTGTAAGCTGTAGTTAGTTGTCTCTTGATTCCATTATCTTTACAATAATCATTGAAAGCACTTGATGTAAATTCTCCTCCACGATCTGTTCTTAAGCACTTAATAGACAGACTAGACTCTTTTTCAACACTACTCTTAAATTGCTTAAAGGCAGCAAATGCATCAGCTTTATAAGCAAGGAAATAGACCCATGCTTTCCTACTAAAGTCATCAATGAAACAAAGCAAATACCTCTTTTGGCCATTTGAAGCTGGTGAGACGGGTCCGCAGATGTCAGCATGGATTAATTCCAACTTAGTTGAAGCACGCCATATGCTTTTTTTTGGAATATTTTCTCTATGTTGTTTTCCTTTCAGACAATCTGTGCAAATGGAATCAGGTCCGAGAAGACACGGCATCCCTTTCACCATCTCTTTGTCCTTCAACATGCGCAATCCTGTGTAACCGAGATGGCCAAACCTTCGATGCCAAAGCTGTACCGAATCTTGGGTTGTGGACTGCAGACAAACTTCTTTTGTGTCCTTGTCAGAATACTTATCAGAGAGCACAACGAACATACGGTTGGAGGTCATGTTACTCTGAAGGATGAGGCCCTTTGTTGAGTGATAAATGCAGCATTTATTATCCTTCATCACCACTGTTAATCCTTTTTCTTGCAGTTGTCCAAGGCTAAGAAGATTATTCCTTAGTTCTGGAACATAGAAGACATCCTGAACAAGATAGCTATTGCCTCCAAAGTATAGCCTGACAGTACCTTTACCAACCACATTTAACTGCATATGATTCCCTAGCCGCACTGTTCTTTGAAATCCATCTTCCAACCGATTAAATAATGACGGGTCTCCACACATGTGATTACTGCATCCTGAATCTAGAAACCACACATCAGTTTTGCTTTGCCCAAACGATTCATGATAAGCCATGAGCAACATCTCCTCAATTTCTTCAATTTCAGTGTAATTTGCTTGCTTAGCCATATTTGGACACTCATACTGAAAGTGACCCAACTGATGGCACTTATAACATTCAATGGTTGCCTTGCTATAGGGTTGCCGGCCTCTGCCTCCTCTGCCCCTTCCTCCTCTGAAAGCTCTGCGGCTGCCTCGTCCTCTTCCACCATTGTTCTCACCGTATGCCACCGTGAGTGCTTGCTCTTCATCTACTTCCTTCTTGAATTTTTGCTCGTGCACAAGAAGGGAGCTTTGCAGCTCATCGACAGTAAGCTTGTCCATATCATTGGCTTCCTCAATGGAACACACAATATAGTTCCACTTTTCAGTGAGGGTTCTCAAAATCTTCTCGACGACCTTGACATCAGTCATATCTTCACCGTAATTCCTCATATCGTTTGCAATCATCATTACCCTACCGAAGTAATCATTGATTGATTCTCCTTGCTTCATGGCAAGGATCTCAAACTCTCTGCGCAATCGATTGAGTTGGGATCGCTGAACTCGAACATTGCCCTGGTATTTCATCTTCATTGAATCCCAGATTTGTTTCGATGTTTCCTTCTTTGGGATTGTCTTCAGAATTGACTTGTCAAGAGATTGAAACAAGTAATTCTTGGCTTTCAGGTCCTTCAACTGCATCTCTTCCGCCGTCTTTCTCTGTGCAGCCGTCGGCACTTCTCCTGCAGCGGGTTGAACGAGGCCTGTGGTCACAACAATCCAATACTCTTTCGAACGGAGAAGGTTCTCCATGAGCATGCTCCAGTGATCATAATCACCATCAAATTTAGGAATTGATGGTAGATTAAAACGATCGCCGCCTTCGGACGCCATCTGCTCTTTCTCTCTTGATTTCTTGTGAAATTTTCTGCTCTTGATACCAGATGTTAGAATCAAATGCTGGAAAACTTACTTAATTGAATAAGAAAAAGGCCAATAAATAGGCTTACATAATATCACACGATCTCCCTAACTGCCCCATTATATGTGGAGCAGTTTATTCCTTCCTAAAATCTAGGTACTGACATTGACTGAAACAATAAAATAGCTAACAATAAGCTGACACATTCTAATGTGCTGCAATACTTAATTTAATTAAAAATAAATATCAAAATATTAATCTTAACACAAGAGATTTAGTTAGAGAGATTTGTTTAAGAAGTGAGTTTTCTCCTAATGTTTTGAGTTATACGATAGTGATATCGGGTTGTTGCAAATTGAGTAAGATGAAGGAGGCTTCTTCTATTTTCGATGAAATGGTTACGTCTGGAGTTAAGCCTAGTGTCACTACTTTTAATGCGCTTATTTATGGATTTGTTAAGGCAGGTGACATGGCATCTGCACTAGGAATGCATAAGAGGATGCTTTTTCATGGTTGTTCTCCTGATGTTGTTACTTTCACTTTGTTAATTGATGGATACTGCCGAGTTGGACAGTTGAACTATGGTTTGGAACTTTTGAATGAAATGAAAGCGAGAAATGTTTCTGCAAATTTGTATACTTTCTCTATTCTTATTAGTGCTATGTG